TATAGATACAGTATATATATAAATATATATATATATATATACAGTATATATATATATATACAGTATATATATATATATATATGTGTATATATATATATACAGTATATACCGGTATATATAAAATACTGTATATATATGTATATATATATATATATAAAAGATGTGTGTATGTATAATTTATAATTTATATGATATATTGTATATATGTATGAATATATATGTCATGCACTTTATTCTAACCTTAACTATATTCTCATCCTTTCTGCATTTAGTGGCTGACTGATACTTTTCTTGCGTTCCTCAACGAATGGGAAAAGGAAGCAATGGAAACAAAAGGGATTAAAAATTCTGATAAACTGAAAATGTGTCTCAGTCACCAAACCTTAAGAAGTTTACAGATGACAGGTAATACGCCATCATTTGTACAAGCATTGCATTATCTGGGTCAAAATGCTTTTTACCTCATAATATTCAAGTACTATATTTTTCTCCCCTTTTGTTTTCAGTTAAATCCTTTGTCAGTTTAACAAAGGAGTTGTTACAGGATACTAGTGTAGCCTACATCTTGAGTGAAAAATTCTCTCAAGACCCATTAGAAGAATACTTCAGCAAACAGCGATCTGCTGGAGGCCGCAATGACAACCCTACAGTTGATGAATTTGGCAACAACTTTCTACGACTTCATGTTGCTGGACCAATGGTTTCTGCTGCAGCTCGTGGAAATGTAAGAGGAAATACAAGAGATGGTTTGAATATATTATCTGATGAGCCTTTACAAAAAAGACAAAGAAAGCCCAAACCATAAATTTTCTTTCACAATTGTATGAAGTTTATGTATTTCAATATGGACGTATGTTACATAGTTACACCTTCTGCTCATTTTAGAGTAAATGATGAAATCTAAAATTGACAACAAAATTTCTATTCAGTTAATACTGTATTGTTGCTGTAGAGTTGCATACTACATTACTTACTCTAATTATTTTGAGGCAAGATTTTTTCGTAAACCTTTATCATGCTTTTTAGACATTTGGCTATCATTTTTCTTTATCAAATTCATACATGCATTTAAAAAGTGTTTGCATCTAATTTTTGCCCAATATGAAGATACAATATGTAATAAATTTATGCTAAGTTCTCCTGCAATTAAATTCTTTGTGACATTGCACCAGCAATTCTGTACCTTAGCATCATTAACAATCTCTACCATTAAAGTATGTTGCATATTAACATTTCTAAACTTTTTGAGGTCATCTTTAAGTAAATGCTTTTTTGACACAATTTCCATAGCCATAAACAATCTAAAAACAGTGTCATTTACATGGAATAATCCACCTCTGTCTTGCATATTTACCCACTTGTCGGAATGTTCGAAAAAACTATCACCCTCCCCCTCCACTGCCTTCCATGACTGTAATATTTCCCTATATATTTTGGATATACCATTTTTGTGTTTCCTGTAATGTTTTACAAGTGCAAATGGTATAAAACCAGAAACATACCTAACAATTTGAATCTCTTCCTCTGTAAGACCTCGGTCTTTCTCTATAACAGTTCTATTTATCTCTCCCTGACGCATAGAGATCAACTGGGAATGAATGCTGTTCACTAGCTGAACATAAACAAAATTGCAAACTAATGAATTTCTTAGGTCATGCCCACCCTGTTCCCGTAAAATCGTTCTCCAATTATCTCTTAAATTGCGGTCCATAGAAATCTCAAATACATTTGTTAAAATGATTTCGCTCGCTTCTGGTCCAAGTTTCTTTCCATCGCCTTTGCATATGCTATCCCACACTCTGGATATTATCAACTTAACAAATTCAACCATAGGTGTACTACTTTTAATTTTCATTAGTGTTTCCACTAATGTCATCAAGTCCCTGCTATTTTCAGTGTCATGATATAGCTCATCACCTGCTATGCCTTGCAAAACGTCATGTAGAAAATCAACAGCTTTACTTTTTACTTCTTCGACACTGGTCTGTGACGCAGGCTGTTTTATTGTTACTTTCTTTATAGAGGAAACTTTCCCTGAAGAATGAAAAAAAATATTAAAGCTTAAGTTAAGTAAATGAGTGAGTGGGTAGCTATGCAAGACAGATGGATTATTCCATGTAGCTTCTATAAAATTTATTGCAATATAATATCAAAAAAGTCAGATCAACTGACACATATTTTACAGTCAGAAACAATTTCTTATAATTATTTTTATATTAAAACAGTAATGTATTCTGTTCCATGTATTGTTATTGTTGATTTGAATACCATGGTGATAAGACAAAAGTGTAAAAGTTCATTTTGTAATAAAGATTAAGGTAGTACCTTTCTTTAATTTCTTGCTTCTGTCCGATTTTTTTCCCAGAGGAGCACTTCCATTCGTACTTTGCTTGCTTTGCTGAACATCTGTTTGAACAAAAATTATGTACAGTTATATTTATCATCCCATTACATTATGAGTATTTAAACACATACTGCTATGAGAACAAATGCAGCCGAGTCTATAGACAGGCCTAGAGGATACAAGAAATGTTGATCGCCAAGCATTACAAGACTAACCAGAAAATTTCATAAAATTTATACACGAACAATACAATATTTGAATGTTAACTGATCAAGAAAAATTGCATTTACAAATAATGCTAACAATATTAATGAATTAATTAAAACATTCTTACCTGTATGTTTACGTGGTACATTTTCTTTGCATGATGGTTTGCTGATATTTTCTTTGGTAACCTGCTTGGTTCCTGTCATAAAAAATTATGTGTGAAAAAATATTTAAAATATTAAATAGCCTAGGCCAAGAAGATATTGCCTTTATAAATTAGTCAACTCTTGGCTATGCTTATAAACAATATTATTGAAGAATAACAATGTCTTTTAAGTTTAATCCTTAAATTATTAAGGAAACAAAATGAAATATCCTAGACCTATTAAAATTACAGTATGTCGCAAAACAAATAACGACTAAAGAAGTAATGTATACGTGAACAGAATTTACGATTTGCGCACTTTCCGCCAATTAGAAGGCTAGGCCTAGGGGCCTAGGCCCTAGATAGAGAGCCAGCCTAGCTAGGCCCTGGCCAAGGAGGTATGATACCTCCTTGTTGCCCTGAGTTTCACAGTCCTTTTCTAAAAATCTAGGCCTTGTAAGAACAAAAATATATACCTGATCTTGAAGAACAATTTGGGCAGAGCCAGTCATCTTTAGGGACGGATTCTGCTGACAGTCCTACACAGGAAAGATGGTACCATTGTACTGCACATTCTACGTTGTCACAGCCGATTAGATCGTCCATGCTGTTGGTGTTTTTGCAAATACAATAACATGTTTCATCATTGTCACTATCGTCTGTATCTTTGTCACATTCCTCTTCAAAATCCTTCAGCATTTCTTCCTTTTCTTCTGTGAGATTATACTCAGTTAAAAGGTCATCTAAATCATCATCTAAAAAATATTCTTCGGAACTGTACGCCATTTTCAATCAACCACTAAGACCACTAGAACCAAGAAAAACAAAAGCAAGCTAAGCCTAAACTGGCCAAGGCGTGGAGCGCTCAAGCGTGCAAACAGAGTGAACGGTGTCAGGTGACGTCACTGACCATGACGTAGACAGTTAAATCCAATTAAATTAACGAGAATTTTATGATGCCCTCGAGCGGCGGTGCTTCACATCGTACAAAGGAGTTGATGGTCGTTGTTTCTCCAGCTTATTTAATACCTCCTTGGTCTTATCAAGAAGTTTTCAAGCCATATCTTTGAATACACTAACAGTGCATTCCTTCTCCATATCATCAATCCTTTCTTTGGGTAGGCTAGGTTGTGGAATATCAAGGGGGTCAGCGACCTCAGTCTCACAGTTATAACAGAAATCCGCCTGGTCCCCCAACTTCGAGCCAAATCTTTGTTGGCCCTCTCAAATCTCTGTCAACATTGTAAGAATGGCCTAGCCTTGCTCGACAAGCCAAGACTTTCCTTAGCCTTAGGCTTAGTAACATCGTTACTACAACTTGTGCTAGCCGCGCTAGCACTAGATTCTTTCGGAGATAGATCAGTCACACTGTCCTTCCGTTTATTATTATTTGGCCTAGGCCTAGCAACCGTATCGGTAGCAGCGCCAGCTCCGACGCTCGTTCGACCCTCGATATCCGCAAAATTCTCCGGTGATAGCGGCGAGGCTATCTTGTCAATATTAGTCCTAAAATAATTACTTACTTCCAATTAATTATAACCTGTAACATCAAACACTTCAACCTATGAAGGTTGCAGGTTAATTTATAATAAGCAGAAACACACTATGTGTGTTTATTAACAGAATAATTGAAGTATAAATCTGAACAAAATTCACCATACACCGTACGGCAAATTAGTGTTGCTAAGTGAAGCTGCGCATGCATGTTGCCATCTCATGGGATCCCTGAGTGTATGATGACGTAATACAATAAATATTTTAGTATGTTAATAAACAGTAAGTTTGTTTCGTGGTAGTTTCCTACCATTTATTTCACGTCAAAATTGTTAGTATCCAGGTTAGTACACTTTACATATCCCTAGCTGTGACAACAGCCAAAACTGCAGGCAGTAATCGGATCGTCAGTACACAAACATGTGGTTATTATCCATCAATGCCTACCGCTGCCTTTGGTAGCTGTGCGCAGAGAGAGTGCATCGATTCACAGTTCAGTATACACGACGTACACGCTGCCTGCTATGTAATGAAACTGTATTTTTTGTCGCTCCCTAGGAAAATTCAGGAGCGCTATGACTGCTCTCCTCGCATCATTTTGAGGAGCGCGAAGGTGCGCCGGCGCGATCGCGCGCCTTTTAAATCAGGGTCTGTATACTCATATATATACTGTATTCAGAAAAATATTTTATTAATTGTTCTAGAGTTTTTCATAGTAAAAGTACAGTAGTGATAGCCCTGTTCATCTGAACAAATTCCGATAACAGGTAATGATCAGGGAGCACTCTGAGACTACTTTAAAGTTGTTACTATTAGACACAAGCTTTCGCTGGCAGTCAATCCACTGCCAGCATCATCAGGTGTGTGAAATGTTACATGCATGAACAGAGAAAATAATGAGGACAAACAATTAAAGCGATAAGTACTGTAACACACCGTCATTAAAACACTATTACATATACAATTACTATCAGCCGCCCACCCCCTTCCTACCCAGGTTATATATATTCGTATGTCTCTTGTTCCAGAGTTATTCATCAAACATGTAGTCAATTAATTAGTACGAGAAATAGTTAAAAGCCTTAGGAGTCATTAACTATGAAAGTTCCCTTCAGGAAATAATAGTTTTTTCAAGTTCTATTTCCTATAGTGTACTCAAAACATTACTATAATTGCTTATTTCCAGTCATAATCTTATTAGATACCCTAAACTATAGAAAGTTTTATGCCTAACAACTGAATCTTGGCCAGACAAAACGCGTGCTTAAAGCAGCATTGATTTTGATGACTAACACACACTTTTTACAGTAGGTGTGGCTCTAGATTCTGTGACAATCCCTCTGTTCTGCCTATAGTCAGGAGGCATTTGTCATTTTTTTGCCCTTACTTCAATTATTTAGCCAAGTTTGATTTTTCACTTTTATGTGATCAATGACACCACAACAAACAATTTTCAGCTAATTGTCCAATTTGTAGATTCGTTTTTCACTCGTTGGGGGCGCTTTAAAAAAATGGCGGTTTGTGATATTTGTGCTTATATCTCGGCAACCACTGATGGTAGAAGTTTCTAAATGGTCTCAAAATGTTCACAATGTATATATTACTATTTGCGCTAATAGAACATTTTGCTGAAAAATGGCCGGAAATGCCATTTCTGGCAATTTGACCTTTGACCTTGTATGCTCATATCTCTGTAAATACTAGTCGAACAGACTTGAAATTAATTTCAAATTGTTCACAATATGTATATTTATATTTACTTTAATGAACATGTTTGTTCTGAAATGCCAGGAAACGTCATATTTGACTTTTGAAAATAATAAGGTTGCGTTTGTATATTCTATATTACTGATAGATACTGTTTCAATTTCAAATAAATACTACATTTCTGTACGATTTATCGGAGGTCCAATGGTTATATTGTTTTATATCAGATCCAATGGTAATACTAAGTTTTGATATAAATTAAGGCCACCCATTGTTCACATACAAAATACAGGTTTGTGATTGGCTGAATGTACATGCAGACTAGAATACAGGACATTTTCTCATGGTGTGGGGAGCAAGACTGCCTCGATGGGATAATTTGGTATGCGGATTCTGCTTGAAATTTTTCTGGAATTATTTAGGATTTTCACTGAGGCGTATAGACTACCTTGATGTTTCTCTGTTGAATTTATATTACTCACAAAAAAAAAAATTAATAAAATTTAAAGAAAACTAACCACATGATACCACTTTTATCTGTCGACGCAATGCAGCTCCTGTTGCAGTGCACGGTAGTGGAGCCCTGGGCTTATCCTGGGTGCTGATGCTCAACATACTGCCTTTGGGTATCTGCGTATACTTATATGGGGAGCAACATTGCATCGATGGGATAATTTGTATTTGGATTTTGCTGAAAATTCTTCTGGGAATTATTTGAATCTTGTTGGTTTAATTGTCTATGCGCCTTGAGCACCTTTGGTAGAGATGTGCGCTTTATAAATCTTTATTTATTATTATTATTTAATTACCAATATGAACATGCTGTGCCATAACAAGAGCATAAAAAAATGAAAGTAAAAGGTGGTTTCGTTGGTATAATTAAAGAAAATATAAGCAAAGTATTAATGCTAAATTTATCTACATCTTGCATTATGGTGGAATCTTTAGTTATTAGGAGTAATTGTGATTTTTTTCCACACAAATGTTGCTACCGAATTAATTATTGCAGGGGTCCCACGGTGAAAGGATCCACATCCTGTTTCACACACCTAAATATAATCTGAATTATAAATGATAATACCATATTAAAAATTGGTAAAAACATGCAAATGTCGTGAATTTGATTCTTCCTTGCTCACAGGAATGTGGTAGGCCTTCCTGATTTCTGAGAGACTTCTGCCACTTCCGGGAGGATTGGGATCCCTGTGATTACCTTATGCATTTAGACATTTAGAGCTAGATACATAGAGGTTAGATAATTTTTACATAAGACAGTAAAATTAAACTATTATACACTTAATTATTTTAAAATTGTACCATTCAGGTTGGATATCCAGACCAGAATATAATTTTCTACTACAATTCCTTGGGAGAAAATGATGATAGAATGAGGGAGATTGAAGAGAACAGGAAGTAAGTATTATTATTAATTCATCATCAACTGTACTTCATTTCAAGGCTACTTTTGTAAAGTAAAGAGGGGGGCTTCTTTTTCAAAATGAATGCCGTACCATACTATCACAAAAAGAAGACTACACTATCTTGAAAAAAAGCCCATGAAAGAGGGGCTTCAATTGGAGATGGGCTTCATCACGAGATTAAGCCCATTGGGCTCCAATTCAAGATTTTACGGTATACTGTATATTGGAATGTCATATAAATTTTATTAATTGTATTTCTTCAATTAAAACTTTTGGATTCGACCCTAAAGATACCAGGATGGTATCCACTGGGGTATTGTTTTAAATTAAGTACAGTAGATGGACAGTTTAAGGTGGATTGGATTTATTTGATGTGAACACCAAGGATAACCCAAGAGTGTACTGCATTCTTTAACATGCACATGGGCCATGGGGCAAAATGCACATGAGACCAATGGCTTAAACATCTCATTCAAAAGACGGTGCGCTATATACCATAACTTGCATTTCAGCCCTCCAGCTGAAACACAAAGACAGCATCAATGGGAGTTGAACCAGGGACCTAGTGATCTCAAGGGTTCAGCTCACCAGAAGCTACCACCAGATTAGTCAACTGAGCTAAGATGCTCTCTACAAGAGGCTGTTAAGTAGTCCTCAGTATGACTCAGTCTTATCAAGTCATCGGCAAATAAACTGACAGCACTATGGCCAAGAAAATCGAAAGACGAGACTGTACTTAATTAAACATTTAAAGTTAAAAGCTTTCAACAAATTCATAATTCCAAGAAAAAATATTGGCATCTTCGATACCATCAAGATTGATATGAAATGGATTAGAGCAAACTGTAGTAATACAATTTAGTCAGATCAACGTAATAACCATGCTTACATTGGGGTAAGCTCCCAGAGCACATGGCTAATATTATAATAGGTAGTAACTGGTTTTGATTCATCAACTGCAAGATTCATCAACTGCCTGTACCTTATTATCTTTGAAAGTATAAGCAAAGTACAAAATTTCATAAACTACTTTACTTTTATGAATTATGTTCGGTAATTTGTTTCATTAAAGGGGGGGTGCGGGGATGAGACAAGTGGCCATATATTGCTTATTTAACCTTTCCTGAGT